CGAAAATGCATATATCCTATATATTCATTTGTTTATTATTTATTTATTTTTTTTGTACCCCCACTAGTCTGAAAGTTTCATGAGACAGGGATCTGGTCTATCTTGTATTCTACTATGTCCCCACTACTTAGCACACAGTAAATTGTCAATAAATATTCAATGAATAAACAAAAAAATATAAGCAGAATCTTGCAATTTAGAGAAAATTTTATGGGCCGGCCGAGTGGCTCAGTTGGTTAAGAGCGTGAGCTCTGAGCAACAGGGTCACTGGTTTGATTCCCACATGGGCCAGTGAGCTACGCCTGGGCTGAGCTGCCAAAAGGTGGCAAGATGGCTCAGCTGGTGAGAGCACGTGCTCCTAACAACAAGGCTGCTGGTGGGACTCCCGCATGGGATGGTGGGCTATGCGCACCCGCAACTAAGACTGAATACAGAACCTTGAGCTGAGTGGCCACGAGCTGCCGATGGGTGGTCGGATGGCGACTGGACTTAGAGCCGAGCTTGCGCCTTCCAAAACTAAGATTGAAGGACAACAATTTGACTTCGAGCTGATGGATCCTGGAAAACCACAACGTTCCCCTTCCCCAATTCCCCAGTAAAAATTCTAAAAAAAAAGATTCTTCTCAGGGGTGTTCTTCTCCAGGAAGCTTCCTCATGTTAAGTTAAGTGATCCTATTTTCTAATTTATCACTTACCACATTATGATAAACTTACCTATTAAATATATTTTTCTGGAACCACAGTAAGATCTTGGACCACCTTTTTATATCTCCAGTACCAAGCTAAAAAACTGTCAATCTGAACTTCAGCTATTAATTTTCTTCCCGATGGTCAGCTTTCCTCTTTTTAAGCCAGTTCTGCTATATACCACTAAATATAAAACATGATTTTACCAAATCACAAAATAACTTTCAATGTGTATATACATTAGAGTGCACAAAGTAGTTTCATATATAGTACATTATTTAAAACTTATTCAAATCATTATTTACATTTTATCCTCATTCCCAATTTTTTTTTTAATTGTGGTCATACGAGCAGAGGTTATCTTATTTAGGGCTCTAAAATAAAAATTTATATTGTACCATAACTACATCAGCATTCATCAAATCATATTCTTTACAAAATTTTTATCAAATTCAAACTTTAGTAAATGGATTAAACATGTAAGATGACTAAGACAATGCAAAGTGTTGTGGGGAAATTTTAAAAATAAGACACATCCTGTCCTAAAATGTTTACTGTTTAATTGGGCAGACAACTTATCAATAAATGAAAAACAGATAAGCAGAAATACTTGGGGTTTAATTTCTGAATTAATTATGCAAGCACAAATTGCTATGTTTTTCAAGGAAGGTTGTTTTAAATTGTCTTTATTTAAGGGTCTATTGCCCTCTAGTGGATCAAGTAAATATATCTAGAAAACTATAACGACAAATTTGCAAACTGATATGAAAAAGGCCATTAAACTATTTTTACTATTTGTGTTTCACCTGGTAAATCCCAGCAAATCGCAAAAAGACTTCCCATTCATTAATGGGAAATGGACAAAAACGTCTGGTGGACAACAATGCAATAATGTCCTTTTGCAGTTACTGTTAAGTTATTCCCTTTACTGTTTTCATTGTATTTTCTTTATGATACTTGTTATGTAGTTTGTTTTGTCTCTTCCTATGCTTGGGCTTGCAGTCCATGTTTGGTGAATAACTGAATGAAGCATCAGGAAAGAATAAACACTAAAGTTAGGAAAACATGATGATAGTGTTGGGAACAATTTCATATGTGGTCTTGCAAATTATCTTTCTTCTTGATTTTATCGGGAAGGATGGTGATATAGTATTACATTTCTTTCAACTCCATCACAGTCAGCAAACCATATTCCAATTTAATAAGCTCTATATAGTTACTTATTCATCAGTTATTAATATTTATTGAGCAGCTGCTAAATACGAATTATATAAGTGATTGATGGACAAATTAAACAAGGTTCCTACTTGGTCACCAGGCTTACAGTCTAATGCAAGAGAGATATTAAACCAAGAATCATACAAAAAGTTTAGATGAAATTGTGGTAAATTCTATAAAAGAAATGAACATAATACCATGGGAAAATATAAAGGGACTGATCTATAGAAGAGGATAGTTCGGAAAATATGTAACCTTTTTTTGAAAAGTATTTTCTGTCAGAGTTGTAAGATTAAGGTAATTTTTATTTCATTATATATTTAAAATATTTTCTAAAAGAATTACTTTTATAATTAGAAAAATAAAGAAAATATTGTAAAAATACTAGGTAGGGAACTTAGCAATAACATACAAAGAAAACTTTGGGTCCTCTCCATCTCTCACACATAAAAATAGAAACAAAGGGGTTGAGATGGAGACAGAGGGAGAAAAGTATGTTAGGGTAGGTTGATGGGAACTAATTAGGGCATTAGCTTTTGTTTTGAAGGCCCAGAGATTGCCCAAGTCAATGTCCAAGAATAAAGACTCTGATAGGCTTACACTTTTGTGGGGTCTAGATGGACACACTATAGTATATTTTAAATTTAACACGGTATAGAATGGAATACTTGCTTTCTTTCTAGTCCAGCCATGTGGGGAGCTAAACTAAAAGCAAAGATGCTTTAGTAATTTGCCATGGAAAATTACCATCACAGGGAAGGGATACATCTTAAACCCATTATTTTCTTTTGGGTATAACTACAAGTTAAGCCAAATTATAAAGAAAGTTGCTTGAAGAAGGGGTGTTGGGTGAATCAAAAATTTAATGGAAATTTAATGATAATATAGCTGATGCATCCTTTTCACAGTAGAGATTATTCTGTCAGTGGGTCCAGGTACATAAGCTCATTGAATAACATTGAAATGATTTACTAACCTTAATATGAAAATTCTAAAAAGGGAAGAGAGAGGCAGGCAGGAGACAGATAATTAAATAAACAGAAGACAAAGAGACAAAACCTATTTTGCTTGGAGAACTATTGGTGAAAAATATTTGTAAAACATTACCCAGGAAAATCTTTTTTGAGTACAACACAGTTTGTCCACTACATTTATGATAGGTAAAGCACTATTCTAGGAATAGAGAAGGGGACAGGGTTACAGAGGGAAAAAACAGGCTCTTGTGTTTAAGGTGTTTATAATCTCTTGGCTAAGACAATATATAACTGCCAACGAAGTGACACAAAGATACACATAAACTCGTATATGCAAGCTCCAGACTTCTGTATCTTTACTTACCTGAGATCCAACTGTATTTGGATGTCTCATATACATTTCAAGGTTTAATAGGTAAAATACCTGAATTCTGTTTCCTCTCAAACCTCTTTACTTGCAATTTTCTCCGTTTCAGTAAATGGCACTGCTTTCCAACCAATAACTCAGGCCCAATAGCTTGGAGTCATCCTCCATTTCTGTTTCCCTCAAATCCCACATTATACCCATCAGGAAATGCTTGAGTCCATTTATATATCTAAAAACTATCATTCACAAAGACCTCCCCCCAATATTCTGCTTATGTTGCTGCATTAGCTTCCTAACTTCCTTTCTAAGTGATGTGGTCCTGCCCATCTCTCCAGAGTCATTTCATACAGCTATTCTTTCCCAGTATATTCCAGTAACAATGGATGCCAAGCTCTTTCATGCCTCAGGGCCTTTGCACAACTCATTCACTCTGGAATGTTCTTCCTTTCCTCTGTTGCATGGCTGGATCATTCTCATCTCTTAGGCCTCAATTTAAGGGTCAACTTCTCAGAGCAGCCTTTCCAGACCAACCTAACTCAAACAGGTTCCCCTGTTATTCTTAAGTCCATCCAAAAAAAGGTTTAAGTTCCGGTAGGACAGGAATCTATCTTATTAACGATTGTAATCCCAGTACCTAGCAGTTCTTGATACAGAGAAGGGAAGCACTTAAAAATTAACTGCAGAATGAATAACTAACTACTGAGTGCTTTGTAACACAATCTTGCAAGGTCAGGAAAGACTTCCTGGCTTAAAAAACTTCATAAAGTGAGATGTAAGGAATAAGTAAAACTCAGCCAGTTTAGGGACTGGGTTAGAAGACGCCTGGAGGTGAGGGAGAATGGTGTATTTGAGGACCTCAAAAAGACATTTCGTATTGCTGGAGCCTAGGGCTAGAGTGGTGAAAAACAAAGCTGGAGAGGTAGGCAAAGGCCAGACAAGAAAGGCCCATGTAAACCATGTGGAGTTTAGACGTAAATCCGAGGACAAATAGGAGCGACTGAAAGGTTTTAAATGGGGAGTGCCACGACCAGATTTGGGCTCTATCAGCCTGGCAATGTGGAGACTGGCTTGGGAGGTAACAAGATTGAGAACAAGCTGGGAGGCTACTGTTAAGAGTTATGTGGCACTCATGGAGCTGAACCAAAGTAATGACATCAAAAGTATGGCATGCCTGGCTAGACATGAGAGAAAAGGAAAGATTATAGAAAACATTCAAGTTTCTGGTTTGAGCACGCCGCTCAGTTAATCCCTCTGGGCCATCAAAGCAGTTTGGAAAAGTACCCTTTCGGCATGTATTACTTTTGGCAAAGCAGCCCGCTGAATACGTTGTCTCTGAGCACCTCAAAAGCTGGATTTCCAGCTCAGATGCTCATCCATGTCTAGCTCGATGGCACAGTAAACGGCTCAATAAACGCTCTTTGAGGGATTGCAACAGCACTGTTTAAAATAAAAAATGATTGACCTTTCCACTCTCTACCCTCATGACCGCCCTTTTATAGAAGAGACTGACTCCTGAAAAAATAACAAAGGATGCTCTGAGTCGCATTCATAACGACGTTAAAGGCTTCGTTAGCAGTCTCCGGCACTTTCCCTCCCCGAGAACCTCGACCCATAGCTCCTCACCTGAGGCAGTGGACCAGAAACCTGCCGGGACATCGCTCAGTAACGCAAGCCGGCGGAACTCCGCAGCAAAACAAGCGCCCTCCAATCGAATCTCCCGCGTCCCCTTCCGCCGGAAATGACGCATGGCCGTGGTTCCTCAGAGCCAATCAGAAGAAGGCGCCGCCGAGAGTGAAGATTCACCTCGGCTTCTTGTGAGCTTTTGGGAACGACCATTTTCGTCAAACTGGGTGTAGAGACAGGTTTGACAAAAGTTCTTCCCCGACTGATCGAGTAGTAGTACAGTTTTGTAAAGTTGGTTTTGGGGCCACCCTGAGCTAGCTGAGCGTAGGGATCCCGGGAATGGCTGGGAGCTGGGGGGAACGCCCCTCCGACTGGGGTTCAGCGGGGTGACTGGAAGGAGGAGTGGAAGCTGGTGAAGGGGGCTGGCGAAGCCATGAAAACATAAGGAGGTTCTGCCGGAGGAGGATAGCGCAGCCGGGGACCGGGGCAGAAGGAGGCTCCGGGAGAAGGGAGGGAGTTCACCTCACCCCAAGCGGGCTGCGGGGTGCTGGGAAAAGAGAGGGGGCGTTACCTGGACGAAGGGACCTGAGCTGGATTCCGAAGCTCCGTGGTCCCCGGGCGACCTTCGTTAAGGGATGGGTTGTGTGGGCAACACGGAGGTTTGGGGTGACCCACGGACAGAGTACCTTTGGAGGTGGTTAGGCTTACATAATGGAGGTGGGGTGCAAGGAGCCAGACGGAGCAGCTTGAAGCCGTGCTTTACGTCCTCCTCTCGGGGTGACCCAGTGCAAGTCCCCGTAGCTGTCCTAGCCTCCGTTTTCTCATCTATAAATGGGGATAGCAATCATACACGACGCACAAGATTGCTGTTAAATGAGAGGATGTGTGTGCCATTATGCCTAGTGATACAGTGACATGTAATGATCGATCAATAAATTGTCATGGTAGCTATTATTCCCATGATATGGGAGTTGCGGAGGGCAAGGGGTGTGGCGATGAAAGTAAGGGGGACGGGGTAGGGTTTGGCAGTGATGATAAAGGCGAGAATACAGGGTGACCAGGCGGAAAGGTGGGCTTGGTGGGCGATATAATTAAAGATAGGATTCAGCGGTCAGGTAGGATGGGTCCCAGGGATGATAAGGGTAGATCTGGAGTGTGACCGAAATGAAGGTGAACTCTAAATGGGGATGGCACCCTCTCGGACGGGGACGAGGGAGGTGTGGCTTGGGTGACCTGGGCTTGGGCGGTGTTGTTGAGGGGCGGGGTGGCTTATGGTTTCCCCGGGGAGGAGCCTCTTTGAGGCGGGGCCCCGCTGTGACTGCCTGCTTCTGCGGGTCTCCCTCCCACCCGCACTGCAGCCGCAAGCCTGAGCCATGGGGCGCCTCTCCCTCCTGCTCCTGGCTTTCCTGACGCCCGGGGCTGCCATCCCGGTACCGCCGGCTCTAAGGGCCTTCAGCAACCTGCACTTGTCATCTAGCTTCACATCCCGCCCCGCTATAGTCATGAACTACTCGATTCACTACATCGAACAGAAGGTAAGGCTAGGTGGGGGTTGGGGGAACACTGGGGTTTCACAGCCCCCCCACCCAACCGACGGGACTCCAGGCACCGGGGTCCACGCGGAATTTCAGACCCCTAATACCTAAGACTTGTCCGATTTTTTGGATCACATTTTCCAGAGGGTGGCCCCAAATCTCAGTTCTGTTTAAAATCTCTCCTCCCATTACCAATAATTTAATTTCAGCCCTGGTTCCACACTCTTCTGTAATTTGTCACAACAGTCACTTCAAGAAGTCTTTCTGCTCCCAGAGGATGCCCTAATCCAAATTATCTTGCCGTCTCTCCAAATCCAAAATTTTTAATGCCAACCCTGTCCTCTACTCCTTTGTGACAGTCACCCTTTGCCCCAAAGCTGCCCCTAAATACAAATTTTAGATTTTACTTAATGTTCAACCTAAAACGCCAAACTTTCATCTCATGCTCAGCTCAAAGTTGGTTTTGTAGCTCTTTAATTAAGAATGTTTAACCTTGATTATTTTTTGTAAGACTGAACGTAAATGTAGCCCTTGCCTGTAAGGCAGTTGTAGGAGTATGTAAGGCTTTGGGAGAAGTGGTGGTAGGAGGGGGTGGTGGTTAGAATCTGGGGTTTGAAGCTTGAGTTTAGAAGGTTAAGGTAGGCTTGATGCCTTTGTTCTTGACTGAGGCATGAGGTATTCCCCGGTAAGCCTGGATGGAAATGTACATATTGTGTGAATGACAGGATCCCTTACAGTTTTGTATTTCTGGGAGCCTATGTAAAATAAAGATAGGCAAAGATTTGGGAAAGGTTGAGGTTGGAAAGAGTGCAAGAGTCTGAGGTTTGGTTTAAGAGTCAGGTATACCAGGATTCCACTCTGCCAGCTCTGGGACTTTGGAAAGGTTACAGAACTTCTCTGAACCCAGTTTCTAGATCTCCTGGGGGTTTAGTAATGTTTAGATGAAAGCAGATGACATGTCCCCAGCAGAGTATGAGGAACAGAAAGCATTTTAATTTTAGCAGAGGTGCCAGGAAAGAGGGGTCTTTTTCTCAGGCAACTCACTTAAATTAATTCTCTAGGTTACAGTTTTCTCATTTGTAAATTTAGAGGTTTGAATAAGGACCAAAATGTTTCACACTTCATTGAGGAAAGTTAAGGGCTCTTTGGGGAGACATCTCAGTGAGACGGTGGGTGAAAGCCCAAGTGGAGGACAAGTTAGGGTGTCCCAGTATCCCCTCTCTCCCTGACCTCTTTCAGCCTAAGCTTTGTGCTTTTATCTGTTTTATATACAACTATTTGCAGGGTTTTATTGCTAAAGTAAAATTGAAGGGGAACTATTGGAATGAAGAACTCTAAAATCCCTTTAGGAATGATGGAAGAGACAACTATCAGCAGAAAAAGGGGGAATGAAAGGGTGGAAGAGACTGAATGATTTGTTAGCTCTTAATTAACATTCCTTCATAGTATATTCCTTTCTTGACCAGTTCACTCTTTAAAAATATAATTTAAGGCTAGTTCTTTCTCCATTTTGGTGATTTGCAAAATCTGTTTGGCTTTACTCAGCCATTTATTGCCCTCTGGCCTAAATATAAAATTTAATTTATATTTTAGGACACAGATTTCACTTATATCTTTATTACCATAATAATCATGTTCCTTACATCAACTCCAATTGAGTTTTTTTTCGAGAAAAATTTCGACATGTATTTATTGCATTAATAATGGTTATAGTAGTTGCCAGTTTATGGACCATAGATTTTTAGTTGCAACTGACTATGTGTAAATTCAACTTTAATATTTTAGTTAGAGCACATAAAATATTCATGCCTTTTAATAATAAACATTATTATTATTGCTATTATTTTAACTGTACAGCTCAGTTTTTATAGAGGGTTTAATTTTTATTAAACTTTATGATGATTTTCTTTATCTGTGGTTATATCTGTCTAGCTGACAAGGCTATTACCAGCTGTCGTTGTACGTACATAAGCTCCATGAATGGTCTCAGTAAAAATGCTTGGCCCTTGGTCCTGTCCCTGCCCATCTTAGCACTCCTTTTTTACTCTGATTGTTTGCAAATAAAGGTCAAACTCCTGGGCATGATTCGTCACCACTTAACCCCAGCTGGCCTTTCCAGTTTCATATCCTGCCATAAGCCTCCTACCCCCAATACATACATATACTTTTAGCAACATAGAACATAGATTCAATTGAATTTTACTGTGTTAGAAATTCTGTCTGGAAACCATCCCACTTCTCCACTAGTTAAACTCATAGTTGTCCCAGCTAAAATGTCACCTCTTCTGCGAAATATTCTTGACTTTAGGGCAACTTTGTTGGTCTTTTTTCACTCTGCATACTAAATAGCACTCTCCAGTATACAGAAGAACCCATAAAAAAATATAAAGTACAAAATAAATATTTATTGAGAGAGTGAATGAATGACTAATCAAAGAAAGCCTAAGCAAAGCAAAGTGACACAAATAATCTTTTATCTTCTTTTTTATCTTTTACTTCCATTCTTAGTGTGTTATGGGCCGCTGAGTTGGCTCTGACTTCTAGCGACTCTGCATGAGTGATGTCCTCAGTGTCCTGTTCTCAATAGCCTGCTCAGCTCTGTAGACTCATGCCTAAGATTTCTTTTATGGAGTCACTCCGTCTCCTATTTGCTCTTCCCCCTTTCATGCTGTCTTCTATTTTTCCCAGCAGTATTGTCTTTGCCAAAGAACCCCGCCTTATTATGTGCTGATGTAGGGCAGCTTCAGTTTTGTCATTTTTGCCTCCAGTGATGTTTCAGGCGTAATTTCCTCTAGGATCCACTTGTTTGTCTTTTTGGAGGTGCAGGGTAGTCATAGAGCTCCCCTCCAACACCATATTTCAAATGAATGAAGTTTTTTATATCAGCCTGTTTTCTTCACTATCCAGCTTTCTCATCTGTACGTGTAATCGGGAATATGAGGAAGTGGATGATCATAACCTTGGTCTCTAATGCCCCATCTTTGTTCTTAGTGCTCTTTTCTAATTCTTCCATTGCTGCTGCGCTTTTGAGTCTCAGCCTTCTCTGTGATTTCTTGGCTGCAGTCTCCATTTGAATTGATGATTGAACCAAGGCAAGCAAAATCATTACTAATTATTTTTTTCTTTTTTCAAAGTCTTCAAATGTTGTTGATTTAGTAGTAATATTTTACTTCTTTTATCCAAAATAACTGAATCAGGAGACCAGACAAAGGTTAGTACTTCACTTGGGCACCTCAAGGCTCTGGGTACATGTGTGACACTAGTGTTTGTAAAGGACTCCTTGGGATGCATGGCTTGTGGTTACAAAGTTTCCCTGTTTCTCACTATCCTTCACCTCCCACGCTAGCCCCTCAAACTAAAATGTGTGTCCTGAGGGCATTTTACCATGTGATACAGTGGGAAAAGAGAAAGAGTCCTTTCAGGTACTTATTTTCATTTTCCTGAGCGGTGAAATACAGAGCAATATCTATTGTATTAGGATTCTCTAGAGAAACAGAACCAATAGGGTGTGTGGCTGTCTGTGAGGGCGTGTCTCCACAGAGATATATTGATTTATTTTAAGGCATTGACGCATATGATTGTGGAGGCTCGGTAAGTCCAACATTTGCAGGGTAGGCCCACAGACTGCAGACCTAGGGAAGAGGTGCAGTGTGAGTCCAGAGGCAAGTCTGCTTGCAGTATTCATTTTTGCTTGGGACAGGTCAATCTTTTGTGCTATTTAGGCCTTCACCTGATTGGATGAGGCCCAACTGCATTCCTGCTTTACTCAAAATCCACTGATTTAAATGTTAATCCCATCCAAAAAACACCATCACAGAAACATGCACAATAACATTTGAGCAAATATCTGGTCACTGTGGTCCAGGCAAGTTGACATGTAAAATTAACCATCACATCTACCAAGGTTGTTATGAGGGTGAAGTATGGTAACATGTGAAAGCACATGCATAGTCCCTGGAACATGGTAGGAACTTAAAGAACTTAATAGAGTAACTGCTAGTTCCTTCCCCATTCTGTCCTGAAAGCACATTCTCCATAGTGTTATACATTTCAGATTGATCCGAATGCATAACAGCTGTGGAAATGCCTCTTCTAGAAACCTAGTGGTCAGTCATCTATACTCAACTACTATTCTTATTTAACTACTGACCAGAGTTTATGTTAGAGCTGTGTATCTTGGCTCAGCATTGAACTGATGGCCACTGACTCCTGCAGGGCCTTTCCACAGCTCCTTCCTTGTCTGCTCTGAGGCAATCATATAAGTGGGCTAAGCTGTTTCCATTTATGTATATCCCTTACAGTTCTACTTTCAATTCCTATTCTAGGTTCCCCTTTCTCATTTTCTCACAGTGGCCCTGATGTCTAGTATTAAGAAAATGTATCAGTGCCAGGCCCATTGGAAGGGCCCATTGCTCTTTCTCCTCTTCCTCCTCCTCTCATTTTTCCCCCCTTCTACTCTTATTGGTTTGCCTACTGATGGCCTTCACCTTATATTTGGAATCTACTGTCACAGATACTATGTGAATTCTGAACTGATTTCTGGTTTTGCTCACAGAATCATTGTCAGAATGCATCTTAGAGATCATGTAGTCCACCCTTTAGATATGATGAATGGACCTTGATCTAAAAAAAGTTATGGAAAGTCAGGAACTTGATAGAGCTTAAATGCCATACAGGTTGAGAATCAATTCTGTTTCTGCCACTACTTGAGTAGCTTTAGACCAATTACTCTGAGCTTCCATTTTTATTATTAGCAAAATAGTGATAATTATACTACCCATCTTACAAATTTGTTGTGACATGAGCTAGCATGTGTAAAGTGCTTATTTAGCACAGTTTATATCACTGGGTAAACACTCAATAAATGGTAAATATTATAATATTTTATCTTGCAGTTTCTTAATGTATGTGGCTTTAACCTCCTCTCCACTCAGAATAAAATATTTAAATTATCCCTTACCATATCAAAAATAGTTACCTGAAAAATATGAAAATCCATG